CATATGGCCCAAGGGAGAATCATCCCAAACAACCTGACAAGTAGGTAAAAGCAGGTAACCTGAGCTGGGAGGATTTAAGTGAACGTTGGGTCCAGCCTACATTAGTCATCTTCTGTGGTTCAAATGAGCTTAGAGCTAGCAGCACTACTCCACTAATTTGGAACAGACAGGCTTCAAGGAAGATCCATTCATTCATTCAGTTTAAAAATATTTGAGCACTGCCCTGGCTGGTGTGGCTCAGTGGACTGACTGCGGGCTTGCCAGTCAGCGGTTGATTCGGAGTCAGGGCACATGCCTGGGTTGTGGGCCAGGCCCCAGTAGGGGGTGCGGGAAAGGAAACCACACATTGATGTTTCCTCTTTCTCCCTCCCTTCCCTTCTCTAAAAAAAATTAATAAACTCTTTAAAAAATATTTGAGCGCCTAATAATTATATGCTCTGGGATTATAAAGATGAATATGATTTGGTCCTTGTCCTTAAAGAGCTTACGGTCTAGCGGGGGCAGTCAAATGTATACAAATAAGTGTAGCACCACCTTTAAAACAGACGTTTAGCAAGGTATGGTAGAAGGATTAACAAGGAAGTGGGAAAGTCTCTGTGTGGGGGACCAGCAAATCAAGCAAGACTCCTTGGAGGTGGGCTAGGCTTGATGGATTGACAGGTTAGCCGTCCAGGAAGGGAGCCTCGTTCGGGGCAGGGGAAACGGCAAGGCAAGCAAGCGGAAACCTGACCTGAGGCACGGAGTCGTGAAACTGCTTGCTCTGCTCTGAAATCGCTCTCACACTCCTTTGTCTCCACGCAAGGAAGTGAAAAGGGGGCCAGCGCCAGTGGGATCCCTCACAGTAGGGTAGTTCGTAAAGAAGTTTGCGAATATAAATTCTAGCAAATAGGGCTGCAAGGCAGGATCTAGCCTGAGGAGCTTCGAAAGAGCTGAAAGGGAATCGCCAAGTTTCCAAAAGGGGGGAGGGGGTGTCGGTGGCCGCAGGGACCTGCCAGTGTTTAATTGTGCCGTCGCGGGCATTCGGTGCTCTGCGCGCCTCGTCCCTGCCGCTCGCCCCGACGGCTGACCCCGCGGATCTGCCAGCCGCGCAAAGTCTTCTCGAGCCCTTACAGCCGGCAAATCCGTCTCCCCGAGTCCGGAGCCTACCTGCTCTTCAGTCCGACGCCTCGCCCCGCGCCTCCGAGCGCCGGCGGCAGCAACCGTTCTCCCACCCTGTGCAACCGCGGGACTCACGCCCGCCCGCCCGCCCGCCCGCCCGGTGCGAACCGTGTGCCGCCGGAGGCTCCGGGGCGAGCGCGCGCCTCCGCTGCCTCCGGACGTCCCTTTGTCTGCTTCTCCCCTGGACCTCGATTTTTATTTAATTCCTCCCCCGCCTCCCAGTTTTGAGAGGTTTCTCTCCTGGAGCTACTTGAGCCAGGCAGTCTAACCGGAGTGGCTCGAGGCCTGCTCGTCTGGGGTCCCCCAGGGCGCTGGACGGAAAAGGTGGCGTGTGTTAAACTGTCATTCACAGAGTCACGTTTCGGACCCCGGAGGAAAGACCGGCCTTCCAGCGTACGGGGGTCCACGCTCTTATCCCGGGGGGGGGGGGTAAAGTTCGGGTCGACCTCGCAGCTCAGGGCCGCCTCCTCCAGGGCACCCGCGCGCGGCGCGCGCCGCCCCTGCGCCTTCTGCCAGCAGGCCTCCAGGGGCCGCTCCTGCGCGCGGTGGAGGGACGCCCCCGGCGCCGGGGCCAGGCGCGGACAATGACCCCTTCTCCCCTCGCCGCCGCCTCCTCCTCCCGACACCGCCCCCCGCGCAACCCCCAGGCAAGCCTATTAGCCATTCAGGCCGACAAAACCCCGCGGCCCCGCGCATTGTCCCGCGGAGCGCCGGGCCACTGTCATTAGCCCTGATTACGCTGAGCCGCCTGACAGCCCCGCCGGCCGCCGGGCAGACCCCCCACTCACCGCCGCCCCGCGGCCCCGCCTCACAATGGGAGCGGAAATCGTCCGCGCCCCCGTGTCCCAGCTGAATAGAGCGAAAAGCTGTTTTCTCTTTTTCTCCCGCCCCATTCACGTTGTCTTTAGATACAATATTTTTCCCCCCTTTTTGTTAAAATTAGAGAGAACGAGGTCAAGGAAGATTTTGCATGAGCTCTTTGACTGTCATTTGTTTAATGTAAACAAAGAGCAAGTTCTCCCCCATCCCCGGCCTCTCATCCCTTCCCTCCCAGATTTTTATAAACAAACTGGTGACAGAAAAGGCGGCGGTTGGGGAGCCAGCGCGGCGGGTGGAAGCGGAGTGGGTCCTTAAGCGGAGGAGAGAGGAGCTGCGGCCTTTGGTGGAACTGGCGGGTGGTTGAAATATTTATAACCAGGAAAGGAGCCTGAGCTAGGGCTGGGGGTGAAATCCTCTCATTGGTCAGGTCTGTTGAAATATAAAAACGCAGCTTCTTTCCACTTTGCTGGAGTAACTGCTTTTTTTTGGAAATTGTTACAGGAAAATAATGTCAAGAAACAAAGGAGAGCCATCATATGGAGATTTCTCCAAATTCAGAAAACTTCCACATGGCTGCTACCTGGAATTAGAAACAAAAACAAAAACATTTCTAGAGTAGGATAACACTAATACGGAAACAAATCTCAGAAAATGAAACTTTTACAATACTTGTCCATGGGAAGGTTTGGACCACCTTCCAACATCTGATCATCAAAGTCTGATTTGACTATTCACAAAAGCAGTTAGGTGCCACCGGGTTTCAGATAAACTTTTTTTTTAAATCTCTTAAATAATAGGCCACTCTTAAGAGTCTAAAGTGAAATTAGATAAATCTTCAGATTGGTGAAACAGAATAGCTGCTTTATAATGTGACCCTTAGGCAGCATGTTACTTTAAGTAAATTGGATGTATTTTAAAGAAAGATATACTTTAAAGGCTTTCACCAAAGTAGGAAGAACAATCCTCCATCACTGTTTGACTTGGGTTTTTTTCTGGACAATTAAGCGTTATTTAGAAATTATTTGTAAAGAGAAAACTTCATTCTTAGCAGTATTTACCCCCCACCGCACCCCCTGCCTTTTTTGAGAATGCAGAGTGGACACTTCCTTTTGCTTTCAGGCATTATTTGAATTGGTGAGTGGGGTGGGATTCTAGAATCTCACATTCCTTTAGTCCACTAATTAGTCCTTTTTCTTCCCTCTTGGATCTGGAAGCAATAGCTTAAGAGATGAAATTTACCAACTATCTACTTCAAATGCTGCTTCTGGACAGTTCCACAATTAGGGTAGGGGGAGGCCAGGGAACGAGACTGGAAATCTCTTGATTTTTTTCACAGAAGTGCAATACTCTTGGCAGATTCAGGACTAGGGGGAAGCTAGGGAGGCGCCTTGAGTGCAAAATTTAAGGAGCACTCATTCACTCCCAGATGACTTGCACTTGCTTGACTTAAGAGTGAGTGCCCTCTTAAAATTTAGGTGTCTCCTTTGCCTCTTCAGAGACCTGGCCCAGCCCCTCGGCATTCTAGGAATTACCGGGGACTCTAGGAAACAAAATATTTGAGTCTGGAGGAAGCTCTACTTTCCTAGTGTTTCAGGACTCACAGTGAGACATTTACTTGCTTTTTGGAAGAACACCAGCTTGATCCCAGAGACTTCCCTACTCCTTCCACCTAGAGCTCTTGGGCAAGAGAGTTTTGATTGTCAACAGTTCTCTGGATAAGGGCTGCTGCATACAATGACAATGATTTATAAAGCCCCAATGAGGTCAAATCTGTTTAAGCAATTTAGAAACCAAAATTCAACCTTTATTTATGTCCTGGGCTTCTCCATATATCTTGCCATTTGACTGCTTTTTGTCTTCCATGACTTCACTTATCTTTGGTTTGCACATTGGCACTTCTATCCAAATAAGTTAGCAGACTTCTGAACCAAAGAGCATCTGCTCAGGACAGAAAGGCAAATTGAGAAGTACCCATGGGGAGGGGAGCTTGAGGAAAGAAGTTTAGCTCAAGTTATTTAAACATCACTGTCAAAGTTTATAATATGTAGTCCTTTTCACTGGAAAAAAACCTTAGAAACTCTCTGGATGGCATTTACTTTTTAGTGTAAGAACTGTTTTGTTTTTGTTTTTTGGTGTACTCTGTGCCTGCATATGACTGCACACTTTGGGAGGGCAAATTAAATACTAACAATACTTGATATTCGTAACTGAAGCCATTACAGGACAATGAAACTCTGGAAGATTTGTTTCATATTTAATACAGAAATCAGATTTTTTAAGTGTTAGTCATTTCTCTGCAGCTTTGCAGTGCATCTCAATATGTGTCATGATTACATTCTTGCCCCCACCCCGTGTATTCCTTTTGTTGAAAATAATGCATTTGATTAAAACCTACTTCTACAGCAAGAAGATGCTAGTCTAGTTACTACCACCACTCCTATCTTCTTTTGTCTAATTTTAATGAGTTCAGTTCTAAATGTAGTATATACTCACGCCAGCATGATCATGGATGGGTACCTCCTGCTTTTGCACGGGAGGAGGCTTCAGAGGAGCCTTGCTCATTGCAGAGACTGTGTCAGAATAGCCTTACATTTTTATAAAACAGGAATTACTATTAAGTCCTAGAACTTGGCCTTCTAAATTGTTCTTGAAAGCCTTTGACACTTAAATGTGCATGTCAGGTGGATAGGCCATAGTTACCTCTGCTGAGGATGTGAGGAATTGCCTTATAGGGGATGCTCAGGTCTCCAATTTCTAGGTTTAAATATAGCACACACATACACATGCATACATACATATGTACATACATACATACAGGCACACAATTTGACGTGGGAGGTGGTTATGGACTTACCATAAAATATACCAGAAGGAAAAAGGTACCGTTTGTATTAGAGCCCTTGTCTTCCTGGTGAAGAAAAGGATTTTTTTTTTTGGTAGGAATCTGAGAGTAGCTTCCTTAAGTAGGAAAGGTTGCTCACCAGGATTTTATTGTTTGGCTTCTTCACACAGAACCCCTCGGCTCCACCCTGCGCCTTTAGAAACAGCAAGTTCCCAAGATACAGAGAAACCTACCATAGCAGTCTTTTAAATAAGTAAACAGCATATATATGTTTTGTTTTAAAAACTTCAAAGCAAAAGTTATACATATATAACAGCGTCTTTTTGACGTGAAATACCCACGGGAGATTCAGGGCAGGCGCTCAGGTGTAGTTCGGGTTCCGGAGGCATCTTTGCTGCAAAATCCTTGGGAAAAAGCAAAGCAAGGAGAACGTGGCGCTGGGTCAAGCCTCACCGTGGGCCGCTGTGACAGGGGCCGGAGGGGCCAGTGGAGCTGGGCGGACGCCGGGGCGGACCACCGGGGAGACCTGGCAACCGAACTGTCGGGCCCCTCATCATCGGAGTTCCTGGTGCGTCTCTCTTCCCTCCCTCCTTCATTTTGTTTGTGTCGTTTTATACACGGATTCTGTTTCTCGGCCTGCTGGGTGGGCAGCTTAGATGTCGCACTCGCTGTCGCTGGACGTGATGGAGATGGCTGAAGTGGCTGCCTTGCTGGATAGGCTGGCGGCCGGGCTGGCGGTGGCTCCCAGCACCTCGGTGGCGCCTTCTTCCTCGGCTCTCAGCGCCCGCCCGGAGCCCTGAGACAGGACTTGCTGCTGAAGCCTACGGGGAAGGAAAGGAACACACGCAGCATACTTTCCGCTGCTCCCTTGCGAGCATCCCTCACACCCAGCGGTTGGCGGCTCTCCCTCAGACTGGGGCTGTCAAAGCGAGTAAGAGGTGGGGACCCGCGCCGCCAGGCAGGGTCCGCAGCCGCCCCTGGCAGAGCCCTGCAGTGGCCCCACCCATCTTCAGCGTCCTTTGTTGGCTCCCAATGTGCCCGCTCTTCGGGGTGCTGGCCTCACAGGGTCACTCCCGGTTGTTGGCCAGCTTTGAGAGATTTACAATGCTGTCAGGATAAATGAGGTGTGGGTGGCAAGGACAAAGTAGGCTCGGGGACAGGAGGCCCCCTTCCCAAAGTGTGTGCCTCTGAAGTGTGGTTGGCCCAAAGCTAACGGCAAGGAGCGCTGCCTGGGGGGCGCAGGGAGCGTTCGGGCCTGGGCGAAGAGGCTAGGTTCTTCGCCCGAGTGGCTGATTGAGATCCACATGCTGGGGAAGGAAAAGCCATAGCGGACTAATTTTCTGTTTTGAGACTGGGTCGTCCACGCGTGGGAAGGTAACTCGACTTCCCACTTCTTAGAAACACAAGTTCATTGAAAACGGTTTTCATAGCATCATAGAAGGGTGCATATGGGGTTTAAACATGACAATAAACTGACACATTGCTAATAAGCCAGGCTTCACTTAATTGTAAGAGCCTGGGCCAAGGCTGACAAGGATTAGCTTTGGGCTTTGGGCTTTGAAGTCCCTCACTGTTTCTGGGATTTTAATTTTATTTCTCCCCCCCCCCACCCGCGTCCAATGCAGCCTTGATTTGGTGACTGGAACCAGCTGCTGGATCGACCCCCAGGCTCCCAGAACGAGAGGGTGGAAACCAGGAGCCGGGAAGGGAACCCCTGCCCAGAATCCCAGAGCGCAGGGCCTCATGACTGAAAACAGACCTCGCTCCCTCCTCTGCTGAGTCCAAGTCTCCAAGGCCCTAGGAAAGCGCGTCCACGGTGCTGTCGCCCGTCCCCTCCGCGGCGAGCACCAGGCGAAGAGACTCTAGGTACTGACCTGTTCTTTGCGGCAGCTGCCCGGTCCCTCTGTCGGCGGTTTTTGAACCAGTTGCCCACCTGCGTGGGGGTCAGTCCGGTTGCCTGGGCAAGCTCACGTTTTTTGCTGGGGTTGGGGTACGGGTCCTGCAGGTACCACTCCCGCAGCAGGTGCCGCGTGCGCTCCTTGAAGCAGTGTGTCTTCTGTTCGCCGTCCCAAATGGTGCGCGGCAGTGGGAACTTCTTCCTCACGCGGTACTTGTCCACCGGCCCCAGGGGCCGTCCACGTAGCTTCTCGGCTTCCTGGTAATGCGCTTCGAGCCACAGCGCCTGCAGCTTGGCGTGGGACTCCTTGGTGAACTTGTGGTTTTCCAGGATATGGTAGAGCTCCCGGTAGTTGCCACCGTGAAAGGCCACGATGGCTCGCGCTCGAAGTACCGACTCATTTTTGTTGAGGGCCTCGCAGGCCGCAGGGGCCACGGGCAGTGACCAGAGGAAGCGACCCAGGCGCTCCACGTCGCCGCTCTCCTCCAGAGTCTCGCATACCCCCGCTACTTGCTGGGGGCTGAAATTCAAGATGGGCAGCTGGAACATCGACGCAGCGCTGGCGGCAGCCGGAGCGCTGAGCGGGGAACAGGACACGCAGCAGACGCCCACGGGCCCAGCCGGATGCGCCAGACTCTCCTCCGTGAACCAGTTCAGGGCAGCCGGAGACACTGCTGGGGAGACGCTGGCAGTGCAACTGTGGGGAGCGAGCGAGCGAGAGGGATTGGAGGAGATGCCGGCTCCGGCTCCGGCTCCCCGGCTCAGGTTCGGCTCCGCGGGCTTAGGGCACGCAGGCGGGCGAGCCGGCATCTCTACTGGGGTGGGAGGATTGGCCGCGCGGGCGCCATGGAGACCCCCTGTCAGTCACTGGCCGGCTCTGCCAATCAAGACTGCAACTAGGGCGTCTAGGCCATTTCAGCACCTCCCCGCTCTCGACAGCGCCCGCCGTTTCCCGTGGACTTTTCCGCAGTATTTTACAGAACCTGGGGGAGGAAAGGACTTGCGAGAGTCTGGGAGAAAAAGAGAGGCGAGAACAGCATCGTTTCGACTCACCCCCCGCCTCCCTAGCCTTGTTTCTCCATTCTCCCTCCCTTCCTCCGCCCCCAAAGAGACAGTGATGCTACTGGAATCCACTTTGGGGAGATGCTCTGCCTGGGTCAGGAGGTCTCCAGAGGACAAAGAGGACTGGCCAGATCGAAATCCTACAAGAATCCGTCAAGTGTAGTTGTAACCAAACGGCTAACAGTGTGGGGAGCGCACCAATGGGGAGGGAGGGGAAGTGGATCGCCTCATTTCTTCTCAGCACCCATCCCTACACGCCTTTCCTCCTTTTCCAGCTGCCACAGAGCCCGGTGGGAATCGAATCTGAAGCAGAAGGAACGGACCGGGGATCTGTAGAAGAGGTCAGTTGGGACTCTACTCCCGCCACATGCAGACTCTTGAAATCATTGAAAACACGAGCTAGGACACTCGCACACCTGATAACACAGGTGCTGACCGCGAAGTCAAACACTCTCAAGAAAAGAGGCATCATACCCCCCCCCCAAAGTTTATACTTTTCAGCCCCCCCCACCTCCAGTTTAATGGACTTGAACAAACGTGCGGCACAGGCGCATCTAGAGTGAGAAGTCATTGGTAGGTCAGGACAGCAATTTAAAAGCTTATTTCAAAGACCTTTTTTTAAAATATCGATTTGCTCTTTTTCTTGCAGGCTAATTTTCTCCCCTACCCTGTGCTAGAAGATAGAACGTTGAACTCTTAAACTGAGGGTAGAACCTCTAACCTTGGCATTTTAGCCCAAAAGTAATTCAGGGGAGAAGTAAAATAGAGAAGGGGAAGGAGGGGAGACCGCAGCAAAGGTTTTTGGGGGGGAGCAGGCAGAAAGTGCTTATTAAGCCACGGAGCACTGACCCCTCCTGCAGAGAAGGGCCTTCTTGGCAGCTCTGCCTTTGGGCCACCAGATTGAATTGGCAACTTTTATTGATTCCCAATTGACATTCACATAATACCATTTCCTGAGGCCTAGATAAAAAGAAACCATGATCTCACCTGGGTCTTTGACAGGGGGTTGTTTTACTTGAAGAAAATAATTGGGAGGGGAAAACAATCTTTGGAAGGCCCTCCCTAGAAAAGAGTCAGATAGGAATGTTCGCCTCAGACTGCACTGGGCCCAGGCTGTCTTTTCTTTAGTATCAAGCACAATTCGTCCGCGGCGTGCACGGCTCCGGTAAATCAGAAGGCAGATAGATAGCACAGATGGTTGGAGGTGTCGGGTCAGATCACGCCACGCCTGAGCGCAGGGCAAAGCTCGTTCTGACGGGAAATCCTGATATTATATTCACAGATCTTCACAGTTCACTCGAAAATAAAGTAGCAGAAGGGAAGAAAAAGCCCTGCAGCCCTTTACATCATTTCTGTGAGATTGCCAGCCACCTCAATGGAGAGGCTTTCTTTTCTAAAAGTTCATTTTCTTGAAATGCGACAGGGCAGAGGCAAAACAAGAAGGGAGATGAGGATAATGACAAAGCACAAACCTTCCCTACCTTGGGGTGACTTCCAAAGGACAACTGTTAGTGAGAACCATCACACACAAGGGGCCACAACCGGCAGGGCAGAACTCTCCGCGACTCCTGGGGGCTGGGCCGGGGTGAAGCCGGGCCTCGCCGGGGCTTCCTTCTGGCACTTCTGGCCGGGGGGGAGGAAAGCTTGGGCCCCGCTCCAGTTTGCTGAGGTTTCTGAATTCCCTCCTCGGGATGCCTGCCCCTGCGCGCTCTCCCAGCAGAGTTGCTTCAGGCTTCCCGTCTGCACGCAGAAGCCACCGCAAGAGCCCAGAGCCGGCTGGAGGGGACCGCGCCTCCAGCACCCTTTTGCTGCACAGGTTGAAAGCCGTGAATTCGGGGGTAACCGGCTTCTTACCCTTAGTGTTTGTGAGCAAGTCGTCTTAATTTTCTGAGCCTAGGTGCCCTACCCAGGAAATGGGAATATTTATTCCATTTGTTGGTCACTAGTTGTGCCAATAGTAGACGAGAGGGTGCTTTGGCTTAGGCGCGTCTAGGGCGCCCGGAGTACTGAGGCCCAGAGCGAGGACTGGCTGACTGGAGTCCCTGGGAAAGGGCGCAGGCTCCCAGCGGCCGAGTCCGAGCCCCGCCAGGCGCAGAGTCTGGGAGCCGGGCGGACGGCGTCTGAGAAGTGTCTGGAGGCCAGGGTCTGCTGTCAGGAAATCCCATCTTCGCCCTCTCAGGGGAACTTGGTTTAAGTGTGTTAGCTCGAAGGAAATAAACTGCCCCCCCCCCGAGCATTAGATTTGTGTTTTCGTTCATCAGCTTCACCCGGGGAAAGGACACACGGAATAACTATGCGAGCTCCCCATCCCTGGCAATGGGAGAAACTCCCCCGAGTTCCTTAGAAACAGCCTTGTAGTGGAGCAGGCGGTGACCCACACCCCGCCTTTAAAGGGCACTTCTCTGGCGTTTGCCAGGCGAAAGCCGGACCTTCGGGTTGATTTTCCCTAATTTTACCAAAGGATAGATTTTTACCAATTTTGCGGTACTACTTGCTACCCCCCCCACCCCCATTCCATTGTTTTCTTTTACGCTTGACCAGGAAACCTAGAAAGTGCAGTGGCAGCCCTTGGCATCCGGCCTACTTGGGCAATTTTGAAACTTTCTCTTGTTGGTTTGCAGCTAGTAGATTTGGGAGGCCTTGGGCAAATGCTTAATTCTCACTGGAAATCCATAGTCGTCTATTCTGCTTTCTGCGGACTCAGAGTTTTACTTCGTGGGGAAAATGTGGAGAGAGAGAGAAAAAAACAAACAGAAGACATTGCGCCCCTCTCCCCCGCTACCGGCAGATTCTGCGTCTAACTGTTAAGTGTGGAAGCAGCAGGGCAAAATGCCCTCAGGAAGTTGTGAGGTTCATAGTAGAAATCTTCGGTGTTCAGCCTGGGATTCTCTGCACACCTCCTCTTGCCCTTTCTGATTTTCCTCTCTGGAGCAGAGGGACACGTGGAGTCTAGGTTGTAGTCTGCTGAAAGATTTGCAGTGGAGAGCACTGCTTAAGTGAAGACACTACCTCCAGGTTCCAATCTCTTGTCTTGTCTTTTATCTGACTCTTCCTAAATCAAACACCTGTGACATAAATTATGCCTTTTTTTCCTTTGCTACACCATTTCACATAGTCAGGGGTTTTAAGAACGTAGCAATTGCATGTATCTGAATTCCTTGATAAAGGTACTTGTGCTGCATGTGAGAGTCAGTCACAGACTAGAAGACAGTGTGGTCCCAGTCTTTTGGGTTTTTAATATGTTCATTTTGATTTTGAGGGAAGAAATCTTGATTCCTCCCCACCTCAAAGATGTATGTTGCCAGTGGGTGAGAATAATGTAAAAAAAAGTCTAGAAAATTAAAATTACTGTCTTTAGAATTAGAGTATTAGAATTTCACACTCTCAAGCATTTACTATTGAATTTAGGATTCTGATTTTCAAATGATATTATATGCATAAATATAGGTACATGTATTTGTTTATGTAATTTGATGATCCAGGTCTTCAGATTATGGAATTAATTCAATATCCTAGTTTTAAAGTACTAACTATCCTAATAAGCTCCCAAGGTAGATTGCTCTATTCCATGCATTCTACCCCTGCCGGTATGTACCTTGTAACAAAGAATAGAGATGCCACTTTATTGTGTATTTCTGAGAAGAAACACCATTGGGACATGTTTTGTAGATTTAATGGCACTGTAAAATTAACTGACAAAAAGTATTACAATTAAAATATTGATGTAATTTTAAAAGATTGGGATATTTTTGTTGTTATTTGCAAATTTGTTCACCAGCTACTTTGAAAATGATGTTTATGTTAAGTGGAGAAAAATTTTATAAGTTTAAATTGGGAAAATGTGCCATTTGAAACTAACAACTAGCACTATTGTTCTTCTGTAAATGTTAGGTTGACTATGCAACTCTGTTTTGACCTCTTGTTTGTATTTGCTCCTAGACATTTGGGTGAGAATTTGTATTTTAACCAAAGAGTATATTGCAAGTCATATTCCTTGCTTAATCTATGGTCTTGAATTCACTTTTCTCTCTCTTTTCTGCTTCTGTGGGGTAAGCCTAAATCTTCACAGTGCTAAAAACAGCACAAGATAGTTTGTTTGGGGCTATGTATCTATCAATGAGTTCTTCTGTGAAGGATTAATGCTTAAAAATGTAACCAGTGTGTCATTTGTAAACACTTTGGTATCAGTAATGAAACATTAGTTGAATGTCTGAAAGAATGATTAATTCATAGTTTTCTGCTTGACCTTTTTTTCTACCACCAGGTTATTTTTGACCATGTTCAAATCCAAGATCAAAGTATCTTTCTAAAATACACATAGAAACCTTAAAATTCAATGAAGTGAAAAAGTATGAGTTTGTTTATGTCCTCTAGGATCAGCCAAACATTATGACATTAAATTGTATGTGTGCCATATTTATGTATTAGTTACATGTGTTATATGTGTGGTAAATGATAATTCTCCTTGGGTATTGTAAAATCAAAGAGAGGCATTAGTCTCCAAGAAATACCTTAAATTCACTGAGTTGACCCATTTGGTTAGTAGAATCTACTTTTTAAAAGCTTCATTACAAGAAATACATTTACATAGCGTGTTACCCTTCAAAGTAGCAAATCTCAACAGAGGGCAATTTTATTCCCCCCTTCTAGGGAACATTTGACAATGTCTGAAGACATTTTTGGTTGTCAAAACTGATATCTAATAGGTGAAGGCCAGAGATGGTGCTGAATACCTTGCAATGGATGGACAGGTCAGCCCCATAACAAAACGT